CTGACGCAGGAGCCGGGACTTATAAGGCACAGCAGCAAAAGACGGGGAGGCGAGCTTGCAGAACAGGGCTGCAGGGAGGGAAAAGCTTGGGAGCCCAGCCGCGGGGCTTAGAAATGGGACAGCACCCTTGTCTCACTGCCCGATGTGGGACGTGGGGCTGCAGGGTTCCTGCCACTGCGCCAGGTGGACCCAGCCCTGGGCAGTTTTGCTCCTCAGCACATCAAACTCCCAGGAAACACAGGGGAGGGGAAAACTGGGGGAGAGAGAGAGATGGCTGGTCTGTGCTAGGGACAGCTTGGCGGGAAAGCAGGGCAGCCTCAACACCACGGAGCGTGCCGCCCAAGGGGAAAGGGCTTGCTAACAGGCTCCTTCACCACTCTGTGCCTCAGTTTCCCCACCACCAGAGCTCAACAGCAGAGAGGCTGCACGGGCTGGCTGCCTGCTTGCAATTCCAGCACTGGCAGAGCCCCCATGTCCTCAGGCAGCTCACGGGACCGGCAGGCAGGGTAGCACTGAGCCCCAGTGCAGGATCAGACCAGGAGCTGCTCCAGCCAGGAAGCCCCAAGCAGCCACAGCCGCAGAGCATCCCACACACACCGGAAAGATGTTCACCCATCCCCAGAGGGGAAAGAGGGTCTCGAACCTCCCCCAGCACTTGAAGCAAGGAGGGCTTCAGGCATTTCCCTCTGAAATCAGCCTTTTGCACGAAAGGCACCCAAGGACCAACATCCTGCTCACCCAGAGGGGAGGAAGGCAGGCTGACCACAAGCAAGCCCAAGCGCACAAGCATTTTGTCCCCAAGGCTGGGGTGTTTCACATGTGACACTGCTTATAGCTGGATCAGCCCCTCCCCAGCATTGCTTTTCCCCCATGTCAGGCAGGGGGATGTCAACGGGGCTCAGCCACCCCTGCGGTCAGGGCAGGAAGGCATTCGAGCGAGGGGGAAGCAGGGAGAGGCACCAGCCCCTGCCCGGGGGAGCAGGAAGCACATGGGAGCTGATAAGTCCAGGCACAACGAGGTAGCACCCAAGAATAGTCCGTGGCCCCCACGGAGGAAGTGCTGCTGGTGCAGCTCTGCAATGGAGACTCCCCCCTGCCCCCCGCTATTGAGTCCCGTCCCCTGCGTCTCTGCAGGATCTCATGGAAAGGATGGCACCCAGGGGGGCTTGGGCCACAGCAGGGGTTCAAAGCTGTTGAAACATCTGGGGATGCCAGCCCCACAACTCCCAGGAGATTACTGTCCCCATGGGGCAGTTCCCCAGCTCAGGGAGATGCTGGTTGAGCATCCTCAGGATGCCATCGCAGCCTTCCACCTTGCCAAGAGGTCTGCTAAGCTAGAGGAGACATGCACAAGTATCACAGCCAACATGCTGAAGGATGCTCACATCCATGCTTGCACTACCCAGCCCACTGCACTAAGCCCCTGGCTCTAGAGACCCAGCAGCACATCTGCCACCCTCTGATGTTTGGGGACCTACAGACACCTTTCACCATCGGCTGGAGCCATGGACCTTACCCACGGGGACAGCTCTCACACTGGGTGAACCCACTGCAGACCAGCTCCTCCTGCCCGCACCCAGGCATTTGTCCTACTGGCAGGAGACACAGAGGTGAGACGAGTTCCTGCCAGCCTCTGCCCTGAGCAGAAGACATTGCTCTGAATGCAGGAGCCTCACAAGGTACGCTCCCACCTCAGGTCCTTAAGTACAGGTACATCTGCCTCTGCTTCGCCCCACCACAAAGCGATTCCTGGGCACTTTTCAGTCCTATGCCTCCTGTGCCCATAGAGCCAGGACACATCCAGAGAGGCACATGAATCTCTCCTCAAATCAACCTGATTCGGGGCAGCGCACTAATGGCCATGCCACAGCCCCATGGAGCATGCCTGGTATCTCCACAGCCCAAGAGCAAGCAAGTCTTCCACAAAACCCAAGTGATGGCAAACTGAGAGTGTTTGACAGTGGTTACTGGAGCGTCACCCCAATCACAGGGAGACCTTCAGGGACACCAGTAGGATGACAAGCACCCAGTAGGATGACTAAGCCACCATTGCATCAGTCCAGCTCTTGGCAAGACAGGGCCGCTAGGCAGTGGGGAGGGGCTGTGCTACCCAAAAATGGACCAGAAATGCCAACCCTAACCAGCATCATGCCCTGATCTCCCTCTGCGCCACAGGGCACTCTCCCCACAAGACCCCAGGCAGGGACCCAGCCTATACAGTATAGAGGGCAAGGCAGAGGTAAGACCACCAGCCCAGAAGGAGAGCCTGGGGAGTAGGGCAGAGTGCGTAGCAAGAATGGATACGACACACAGCCCAAGCTTTAAGGCCCCCGCTAGAAACAGGTCACGTCCTGGTCAGCTCCCCACTGGCATCCTACTGCGGGCAGGGAAACCCTGGGAGGTGAGGTTTCCTTCCCTCCTCCAGCTCCTCCCAGAGGAGCTGGGTGCTCTCTCCAAGTCCACAGCTTGCTCTGCACTTCAAGCCACTGCTATAGGCAACCCAGGGGAGTCACACTTTCAGAGAGACACTGGCCTCCTGCCCTTGAAAGCAGATGGGAGGGACACATATCCCCAGGCCGACAGCTTCTCACACACAGCCACGTACTGAGACCCGACCCCACACTAGTGCAAGAACCCATCACCATGTCCTTTGCAGCACAGGAGGGAATGTGCCATCCCAGACTAGGAGGTGCAACATCTCCATAGCCTCTTCTGGGCTACGCAGCAGGGCTGGAGATCCTCCGCGTGGGTAAGACTGCCCTACTGGGTCCTTGGGTTTCCAGCAACCACAGCCTGCAGCCAGGTAAGCTTGGGCTCAGTGATCAAGGAGAGCAATGTGCAAGGCCAGCACGTGCGGTCCCATGCAACTGTCCTCTAGAGAAACCCACCCCAGCAGCCACTGGGCTGGCTGGAGGCAGGATCTCATACCTATGCTCTGCCACCCTGCCCTACCACAGGATAACAACTGGCCAGTTAGGCTTGAGACTGTCCCTTCCCACAGGGCACACAGCAGAGGTCAACATCTTGTCCCTGTCCACAGGGCTAGGTGCAGGAGATGATGTTCACTAGACAGATGGACAGAGCAAGCCTCAGCACCATCCCTGCTCCTGTCTCCAAGCAAGAGCAAGGGGGCGAGCCCTGGGGCCAAAGAAAGCCTCACCACCCCAGACACACCAAGAAGAGCCCAGACCTTGTGTAAGCCTCTAGCTCCACGCTCACCTGCCCTCCAGCCACCATCCAAA